AACCTTGAGAAGGAACAGTTTGTATGAAGTTTGGAGCTCAGAAAAATGTTAGAGGCATCCTTAAACAGGCAATAAACTTTGTTCCATCTGAAAATACTTGGAAGCCAAGAAAGTATAAAAAAAATGTAAGAATACTGTTAGTATTTTATCATTGTAATTAAACATGCGATGTGTAGTGTGTGCCAGTTCCTTACAATGGTTGTTCTGCTCCAACAGAAGAAAAGAAGCTTACGCAATTTATTTATTTATTCTACTTCCTCCTGGTGCTTGCATGAATATGATGGTGGATTTGCTTATGTTTTTATCAGATTTTGGTGTTGATTGGTGAGACTGGTTCAGGGAAGAGTACGCAGCTGGTTCAATTCCTTGCTGATTCAGGAATAGCTGGTAATGAGTCCATTGTATGTGCTCAGCCACGGAAAATTGCTGCTATCTCATTGGCAGACAGGGTCAGGGAAGAAAGCTCTGGGTGTTATAAAGATGGTTTTGTCTTCTGTTATCCTGTATTTTCATCTGATCAGCATTTTGATTCCAGGGTTATATATATGACAGACAACTGTTTGCTACAGCACTATATGAATGATAGAAATTTAACTGGTATTTCTTGCATCATTGTTGATGAGGCTCATGAAAGGAGCCTGAATACTGATCTTCTTTTGGCATTGGTCAAAGATTTACTTATCAGAAGGAATGATTTACGGCTGGTAATAATGTCTGCAACAGCTGACGCAGATCAACTTGCAGAATATTTTTTTCATTGTAGTATCTTTCATGTTAAGGGAAGGAACTTCCCTGTTGATATCAGATATGTCCCTTGTAAAACTCAAGGAACTTCTATTTCCAGTATGGTTGCATCATATGTTGCAGATGTTGTAAGGATGGCAACTGAGGTTCACAAAAAGGAGAAAGAAGGGACAATTCTTGCCTTTCTGACATCTCAGATGGAAGTAGAATGGGCTTGTGATAGTTTTGAAGCTTCATCTGCACTTGCATTACCATTGCATGGAAAACTGTCTTTTGAAGATCAATTTCGTATTTTCCAGAACTACCCTGGGAAAAGAAAAGTCATATTTGCAACAAATGTTGCTGAGACATCTCTTACAATTCCTGGGGTAAAGTATGTCATAGATTCTGGAATGGTCAAGGAAAGCAAATTTGAACCTACCACGGGAATGAATGTCCTTAGAGTCTGCAGAACCAGCCAGAGTTCTGCTAAGCAACGTGCTGGTCGTGCTGGTAGAACAGAACCTGGAATATGCTACAGACTCTATGAAGAACGTGATTTTGAGTTGATGACTTCTAATCAGGAACCTGAAATTCACAGGGTTCATCTTGGTGTGGCAGTTCTGAGGATCCTTGCTTTGGGCATCAAGAATGTTCGGGGCTTTGATTTTGTTGATGCTCCTAGTCCTGAAGCCATTGACATGGCCATTAGGAATCTTGTGCAATTGGGTGCCATTAAACAGAAGAATGATGTTTTTGAATTAACAGAAGATGGTCGTTACTTGGTAAAATTGGGCATTGAACCTCGTCTTGGTAAAATAATTCTGGGTTGCTTTAATCACCGTTTGGGTAAAGAGGGCATTGTTCTTGCTGCTGTTATGGCAAATGCTAGTAGCATATTTTGCAGGGTTGGTAGTGATGATGATAAGCTAAAAGCTGATTGTCTTAAGGTGCAATTTTGCCACCGAAATGGTGACCTCTTCACTCTGCTGTCTGTGTACAGGGAATGGGAGGGTCTCCCTCAGGATAGGAAAAACAGTTGGTGCTGGCAGAACAGTGTAAACGCAAAATCAATGCGGAGATGCCAAGACACAGTGAAGGAATTGGACTTTTGCCTGCAGAAGGAGCTTAATGTTATTATTCCAACTTTCTGGATATGGAATCCTCATAAGTCTACCGAGCATGATAAACATTTGAAGAAGGTTATACTCTCTTCCCTTGCAGAAAACGTAGCTATGTACTCTGGATGTGATCAACTTGGTTATGAAGTTGCATTGACTGGACAATATGTTCGGCTACATCCCTCTTGTTCATTGCAAATATTTGGTCAGAAGCCAAGTTGGGTTGTTTTTGGAGAACTCCTAGCAATAACTAATCAGTATCTGGTCTGTGTAACTGCTGTTGATGCTGAATCTTTATCTACTCTTGACCCTTCTCCCTTGTTTGATGTCTCTAATATGGAAAGCCGGAAGTTGCAAATGCATCTGATGACTGGGTTTGGCAAAAATCTTCTCAAAAAGTTCTGTGGGAAGTCCAACCGCAATGTTCTGTCACTTGAATCACGGATTAGATCTGCCTGCATGGATGAGCGGATTGGTATTCAGATCAATGTTGATCAGAATGAGATTGTGTTATTTGCCCCATCAGAGGCCATGGAAAGGGTTAGGGATCTTGTAAATGAGGTGCTTGAATACGAAATAAAATGGATGCGTAATGAGTGCATGGAGAAATGCATATATCACAGGACGGGTGGCTCACCACCTGTGGCTCTCTTTGGTGCAGGTGCTGAGATCAAGCATCTTGAACTTGAAAAGAGTTGTTTGACTGTTGATATATTCCATTCAAATGTTAATGCGATTGATGACAAGGAGCTTTTAATGTTTCTTGAGAGGATCACCTCTGGAAGTGTTTGTGCTGTCCACAAATACAACAATGGACAAGAGGGTGATGACAATGAAAAGTGGGGAAAGGTTACATTTCTAAGCCCTGATGCTGTTAGGAAAGCAGCTGAGCTGAATGATGTTGACTTTGCTGGTTCTTTACTGAAGGTAATTCCTTCACAGATGGGCCTTGGCAGTGATCATAAA